TCAGTATCCTAGAGTGTGTGACATTCAAGCTGCTAGTTAACAATCTCTTGTGAGTTAAAGGTGTATATTCTATGTTTGAATTTCTAAGATAAATACATTCAGTTGCTATGGAAAGGGTTTAAAAACAAAATCCAATGTAAGATTGGATTTTACATTGGATCCAATGTAAAATTCAGGAAAGGAAAAAGGTTTTGAACTTAATTTTTTAGTCTCCTTTCTTAAAGCAGTACTAATGTCAAGTTTAAAGCTTGATGTTTCCTGGGTTTCCACTGAAATATTATGAGGTCTGGCAGTAATTACCCGTTTTATCAGGGCACAATGTAAACTTCCTAAAAGTAGACTGGATTACCATTCAGTTTGCACATTCCAGCACAAACAGCTATGGAGAACATTCTTTAATTCAGAGTGTTAAAAGTGAAGTGGGAATTCAGGTCTAATAATTCTGACTTCTGTGGCTGTAACCAAGAAGCCAGTGTTGTATGAGGAGGAAAGAAGTATATGCAGACAAGCATGCAAATTAAATGCTGCAGTATTTTTGTAGATCTGTAAAGCTAACACAATTAGTGTCTTAAAATCTTTTATACCTCTGCTCAATAAGCCTTTGAGAAGCTTGTATTTATAATTATGTTTATGAAGTTTTGCTGCATGTTGTTAGCTGTTCATGATTGAAGTATTTTACAGAACGTGAGCTTTTGCAAGGTATTTTAATAGCAAATTATGAACTTGTGAAGACACTGTGTTTGCATTATCAATGGATGTGATGTACAAGCACATGAAAATCAAGAGCCTAAAATCTATGTATTTCCAAGGGTTTTGTCACTTACCTTTACAATTTTGTGCTGGATGGTTTAAATACAGTACAATGCATCAAAGCGTGCAGTTGTCTAAAAATACATGTACAAAAATCCCAAATGCACATTCACAGGGTGTGTGGGTTTTTGAGGCAGCCGCCTCATTGTTCTAGAAGGCTGTTGGGAGGCCAGGACAGAATGGATGTTAGCCCAGATAGCAAGGTGTGTGTGCAAGGAGAATACTTTGTGCATGGCAAAGGGTGCTAGTTTCAGGATCTGAGACCTTCTTTAATAGAATGGGGGAACTGGAACTCTTCCCTTCTCCTTTCTCCAATAAGTAACTGGCAGTCGCCGTCCCCCTGCTGAAAAGTGTTCCTGTGCTCTGGTCTCCTGCCGCAGCTGGCAGCTTGGTGATGGTTATTGGATCAGATGCCATCAAACATCTTACAAGCTATTAAATATTGCCTTTATCTCCCCTCCCCCATCCTAGCACACACCATGACAAACCTAAGACATTTACTGCAATCAGTTATGTCCCTAAAAATCTACCAAGTGCAGCGCAGGGAGCAGAAGAGACCAAGGGCTTCAGTGTTGACAGAGAATGTGTTAAGGAGAAATAACTGTAAATAACTGTTTAGGCACAGAAATCCCTGATAATACTGAAATACTTGCTCACGTGTTTCCCTCTAGGCTGTTCCTGTGGTGGCTGTGCTGTTTTGTCTGCTGAGTCAGACTGGCAGCAGCTTTAGGTGAGCAAAAGCCAAATTAATGAAAAAATCCAAATGCTGAGGCTGAAATAAATGTGCACATTAAATACTCCACTAAGCTTTATCAGTGAAGCATTTGGTTATAGTTTGGTCAATATAAATATATAGAACCGTTGCAAAACAACTGTTTGAACTTACTGCTGGACTGGAGAAACTTAACAAAACAAATAGCGATTAAAATTAAACCGTTAATGTAACACTTGAGTATAGAAGACTCACGGGCCTTTATGTCTTCTAACTTCTGGTTGTTTTGGTTTCTCCAGTGTGGCAATATTTTTGCTCTTTTGCCTTTTCCAGTGACATAGAATTTCCTGACATAAGAGCCTGGCTCTCTGGGTAGTGTGTACCTATCTCTAATTGTTTCCTGCCCTCAAAATGGGGCCAGGGACTTGGGGGAGGGAAATTGGAAAAAAGTAGAAGACTTGCACTATTAAGGTCTCATTATTGAGGCAAGAAAAAAATGATTGTTCCCTGAAGAATTTGTGTTATTTTAAAATTTACTGGTAAAAGGCTAAAGCTTCACATTTTCCTTTTGAGAAGTGGGACTCTCACACATTTTTAGGAATTCTGGAGCTGAGTATGTATAAAGTTCTTAATTTCTGAAGGACAACTTTGACAGACTCTCTGTGTTACAATTTAATAAATTATGTTTATTTTGGGATTAAACTTGTGATTTCTGAATGTTTGCAGTTGACAATATGGAAGCTCGTGAAAGCTGTCACTGCTTTAACATCTGTCAGCAGCAGGGTACCAACACCCTAAAAGGCAGGCTTTCCTGGAGTTAAAATGTGTGTCATCTTAGCAGAAGGCTTCAGAAGCCCACCTACTGACGTATTTACTGCTATATTTTGTATGATCTATAAGTTTATAAGCTATCTCTGAGCCTAGTGTCCATTGTACGAGAGCCAGACAGGTGGAAGGTCCACCCTGGCCTGTGTTGTGCTTGGTTTAAGAGTGAAGGGGCTCCAAGAGGTTTGGTGATACTGAGGGACAACTGTGAAGGAGCCAGTGGTGTCCTGGGTGTCGTGGGCAGTGCAGCGACCAGCCCGTGTTCAAAAGGAAACCTTAGGCAACACACCGTGCAGCAGACCCAAGAACTGGTATATAAAAACAGCGTCCCCCTTCCTGGGTTGTGAGTTTTGCTCTGACCTCTTTCACAGAGCATCTGTCCTGCCTGAATAGTGTCGGGAGGTGGCAGGAAGAGAGCTGTGCTGCCCTGGCTGCGCTCCCTCAGCAATGAGGAAGGTGCCTTCAGCCCCAGCCTGGGGTCTTGGCTTAACCTGGAAAGGTCTGGGTGTGTGCAGCACAGGAGTTCATACCACCTGCAGTCCTATTTCCAGGATGGTGTTTTCTCCCTATTGTTTTGTCAGTGCTCTAACTGTTCCTGGTCAATAAATCTGAGACACAAACCCAGTTCCTGAACCTGTTAAGGGAGGTGGCCAAGCTTGCATCTGCTGCAGAAAGGGCAGAGGAAAGATTTTAACCCCTCTCAGTACTGTTCCTGTCATTCTCCCTCAGCCTGTTCTCTGTACCCCTGGAATTGGCAGGCAGGGTGAAGCACCTCCAAACCAAGTATGTTAATTGTAATGAGTTTGACTTTGCTTTCTCTTTACTGCTTCTTTACAAGCGGTTCATGCTGTGGTCTGTAATCTCCCCGCAGCAGGAGTTTGTTGGTGTGCAGGGGTTTGCTGTCGGTGTGCAGGGGTTTGCAGTTGGTGTGCAGGGGTTTGCTGTTGGTGTGCAGGGGTTTGCTGTCGGTCAGCAGGGGGTTGCTGTTTGTGTGCAGGGGTTTGCTGTCGGTGTGCAGGGGTTTGCTGTCGGTGTGCAGGGGTTTGCTGTCGGTGTGCAGGGGTTTGCTGTCGGTGTGCAGGGGTTTGCTGTTGGTGTGCAGGGGTTTGCTGTCGGTGTGCCTACAGTACCTCGCACCAGGAGGTCCCCTCCTGCTTGAAACTACTGGGTGTTGCTGCAACATACAGGGTAAATAAAAATAGCCGTCAAAACATCGGCAATAAAAGAATAAGCTATGTTAACTGCAATAAATTACTTTCATGAACACGCAGTTATATTTTATTGGGCTTTCAGGACTTATATATCCTCCAAGTCTTTATGAATGCTTGAGACTAAATAGCAGCATTTTAGTGATGTTTTCAAGAGGTCAGGATCTATTTTATAATCCTTGGGGCTTTCAGATAGTTCCCTTTAAACTCTTTACACTCCAGGGAGCCTAACTCCTGCCAGAGGAGAGCAGGGGGGAGTGTTGGTGTGGGAGGGCAGCCCAGAACCCTGGAGGAGCCCGTTTGTGGGGCTGAGGTGCGGCAGGAGGCGGAAGGTGATGAGGTGTGTCCCCGTGCCTTGGCCTCTGCTCGCCGGGTGCCCGCGTCTGGCTGCGCTGGGTGTTTTAATAAAGAGGTAGAAGAGATCACACAGGCAGGGTCAGCAGCGACGCTGCTGCACGGGGACCAGCCTGTCCGTCTCCTGGGCACGGCCGGGGCCC